TAACAACAAATCCAAATTAAAGCATCTTCAACAGGTAGCTATAGACCCTTTGTTTGAATTAGTGCAAAAATGCAAAATTCTCTTGCATTTTTAAAGAGTTCTCCTTCAATCTGAGGAAAGGGTGAGTATGTATCTATTTATTTATTGGATTTATATGGCCGCCCAACTTGCAAAAATGCAACTCCAGTGTACAACAATAAAAGCAAGAATGCAATACAACAAAATTCCAATGAAAACCGCAACCAACACACAATTGGGGCACACCAACATATACTCCATCTCATGGAATGAGCTTCTGTAACATCCTAACCCCACTGCTCAAAGGAACAGCCAGGTGGTCACGGCCTTCCTAAAGGCCAACAGGATTGGGGCAAGAATGACATTTTGAAATTGTTGCAAAGGAGAGAAGAATGTTGGTGAAAATTTCTTTGGTGGAAGGGAAGAATGCTGTTGATTACTTTTAAGGTGGCCAAGTTGTATGGGTGAACGTCTTCCCTTTCATTGTTCGGTCTTCTCTCTCAAAGTCTGCACCTTCCTGGACTTCCTTCTCATCCTTCCATTAAATCCCACATGAAGACTTCAGGAGGCAACTGGACCTGTGTTTATTTTTCCCTAGGAGCAATGTTTCTGTCACCACTCAGAAGACTCCTGCCATTGAGAAGTAGAGATGTTCTCCTGGTGGAGAATTTCCAAAGTCCTTTGTGCACAGCTGTAATTTGGACATGTTTAGAAAGTGGGAATTCCATCCTCTCCCTACCTCATGGATCCCTCTGTCACTGTCCTTTCCAGAAATGGAACCAATGGTCTAAGGCCTCTTTGTCTAAAACAAGAGTTCCCTAAGGTAGGGTCCTCCAGATATTTTGGCAGTTCAATTTCAGAATTTCTACCCAGTCCATCCAAAGGCAGCTCTAGGAATTGAAGACATCTGGAAAAATCTGCTCTAAAATATTGGCAGAAGACCATTGTTATTGCTCATGAATGATGCTGAAGGAGATAGGAGGAGACAGACTTACTGTTTGTCATCTTTGAACCACTGAAAATCAGCAGCGGGCACAGCCATGGCTTCACAGCGCAAGAGGGCTGTCTTTCCCATCAAGGGACGGGAGTCTTTTACATCTGTGATGATCGGAGGATCTGGGAAAAGCAATGGATAGAGATATAGATTAGAGGGTCAACTGTGACATCCTCTCTCTGCAGGCCATCTCTTGCAGCCCTTCAACTGAGTGCTGAAAAGACCTTCAGGGAGACCCTAAAAAAAGTTCTGAAAGAGCCAGAGAAGGACCCCCAGCTCCCCCCATTTGGGTTCATTGACCTTCCTGACCTCAAAATAGAATCGCATTGCAGAACTACTTCTCCCATAATCCTTTGTGCTCCAGTTGATGCCAAGGAGGGAAGAAGAAAACTAAACCTGTCCTCCTCCACCTTATTGCAGGTTCACTGCCTCTCACATTGCCAGTCATAAAGAAGAATGAAGTTTATTTAGGGGATGGGGAAAGGACAGGAGACCCCTTTTGAACTGGCAAGGAAAAGCTATCAGTAGGAGAAGGGAAGAAAAGAAGGCAAGTAATTTCTGCCCACCCAGTAAATACAAAGAAAGAGCTTCTATTGGAGGTCCCCATTTAATGAGATGATGGGTGGAAGGGAGCACGGTAGGGGATGTTCTCTGTAGGAGTTGTCCTCCTATGGCAGTGTTTCTCAATCTAAGCAACTTTAAGATGCGTGGACTTCAACATCTGAAGTCCTCACATCTTAAAGTTGCTCAGTTTGAGAAACAATGTCCTATGGAATAGCTTGCTCCTCTAAACAAATATCTCCCATCTTGACCTGAAGTCAATGAAGATAGAAACATAATCATTGGAAAACACAGATATCCATTTTCTATGTACCTTTAAGTTTGCCTGGGGACAATGCCAGAAAAGCTATATTTGGGGAATCAAAGATTCAGAATAGCAACAATTATTTCCAAAAGGTGGGAGAAGCTTTATCATAACTTGGGGATATCTGGAGAGTGCTTGGAAGAGTGGAAACCATTTGTAAAACGCCTGAAAGGTTTCACCAGCTGCATTCACACAACTTGCTTCACCTGATTGCTGAACAAACTTGTTTCCTAAGTTTTCACCATGCATCGATCCATCAACAAACCAAATGTCCTGGGTTCAGACCTAAGCACCCCCCTCCAACCTAACCAAGGTTAACTAATCAACATGAACACATGGTGAAAAGGTAGCTGCTAGGTTTTAAATGAGCTGGTGAGGCCATGAGGTGTGAGCAACACCATGACTTCTCGAAACCAAGCCTAAGGCTGACCCCTAAGCTTAGATCCCCACCCTACTCAGGCCCAGGAGTTCCAGATGCAACTGAACATAAAAACAGCTGCACATGCAGAGCAGAGAGGAACTGAAAAGTTGCCCTCACAATTGACTGTGATAAGGACGTGCTTGCTGTCGGGGGTTGAAACACCGTTTGCCGTGATGCACTCGTACTCCCCAGCTTGTTGTCGGTTGATCTCTGTGATTTCCAGATACTCTCCTTCACTGGTGAATCCATCTGTGGGGAGGGAGCAGTGGGGAAGCAGGGAGGGGGTCAGGTCCAGCAGCAGGGAGACAGACACAAACAGACTTACACACAAGAAAACACATATGACACGACACTGTTATCAAGGCCTCCTCCATGCAGGGGCTGCCCCACACAGGACCCCAAGGGGCAGGCAGAGGTGGGGGTGGCCTGAGTGAGAAGTGAGGGGGGATGAACGCACGGAGAAACTCTGCAGTCTTTAGGTTCACACAACATACTAGACTAGATGAAAACAGCAGTTCGTGCTTCAGTGAGTTGTTGGAACTCAATCGCTGTTTCAGCAAGTCATACAGAAAGGAAAAGTTGTACACCAATCAGATTAGATGAGATTTGTTTTGTCTTTTTTTTTATTTGGACCCCTGAGCCAAATTTGATCTGAACAATGGGTTCAGATTGCATTACCCAAACTGGAACACTGGGCTTTAAATTGAGTTAGGCTTGCACATGTGAGAGAACAAGTTATCTGGACTGGTCCAGATGAAATCCATGTTGATGAATTCAGCCTAGCTTAATAATTCAAACTGAATTGGCAAACTGAGTTAGCCAGTCTGTTCAGTCCAGAGAGTTGATCGAACCGTCTTCAGATGGAAATTCCCCATCAAATAGACATATGCCTGGTAAACCTAGCACCTCCATTTTGTTAAACCAGGTTTAGGGTTTCGTGGCTTGTGAGAAGGACTGTCCAAGCAAACCCAGCAGAAGGACCATAGTAAGCAGCTTTTCTAGGGCTGGACAGACCACAGGACTCCAACTGCCCCTGTTTTCGTGGCAAGGGAGACATGACAGAGCCCAGATAAAATGTCCCCTAGTTGACCTCTATGACGCCAGCGCTTTCTCTGACCTGGTAGGTAGCAGACCAACAGTGGGGATGGGAGATGGGCCAATTTCAGTTCTCACACACGTTGCAAAACTGTTACGTTTTGGGAAGTGATTTCTAAAATAGTACATAATAGAGAACACTATATGGGCCCTGCAACAAAGTTGTAGCATGCTGTGCCTCTGTTCAGGGTGCCAGCAACCCGGACAGCACCTTTCTTTCCATGATTGTTGATTTCACTGCGCATGTCAGCCGGTGCCTGTTGCTATACAGGGAGTCCCTGGGTTAAGAATGCCCAGTTTAAGGATGACCCATAGTTAAGAACAGAGCCTATTGTAGCAAAGTTTGAGTTAAATACACAATGGTTTGAGTTCATTACACCATACTACTTATACAGTATTATACAATAATACTGTTCCAACTTACGTACAAATTCGACTTAAGGACAGACCTTGGGAACGGAACTCGTTCTTAAATTGGAGATTACCTGTACTCACTT